TACAGAGCCTACCCTGTGAGTTCTGTGACGGTTGCACCACAGTACCCTACACTTCTGTGAGTTCTGTAGCACACACGGTACCCCACAGAGATTACCCTCTTGGTCTGTATACAATACCCTAACACTTCTGTGGGTTCTGTGACGATCGTGCCGCAATACCCTACATTTCTGTGAGTTCTGTGACGGTTGCACCACAATACCCTACACTTCTGTGAGTTCTGTAGCACACCCCGTACCCTACAGAGATTACCCTCCGGTTCTGTAACAGATCCAATACCCCACAGACATTACCCGTACCCTACAGAACCTAACCTTGCAATGTTGTATGCGTGCGCTCTGTCGATGTTGTTGCTGTCGACCTCCGATCCATATTCCAGCTTTCGCCACAGTGAAGGCTAGACAGGCACTTCGAACGTGCCACCACTGCAGCATTCACCGTAAATGACTCCCGGTCATCCTTTTCAGTGCACAGTTACAGGTTGCACTTCCATTTCGCCGCCACGTTTTTCCCATCACACCTAACCAACAAAGTAGGATCTTCTACGCCCCATGCTGACGGGTTGTGACTTAGACGGAGCATACCTAATGCTACACATTGTGGCCCGGGCATCCGTTTCGAAGCAGGACTTGCACACCCTGGAGCACGTCGAAGTGAAAAACCCGCTCGTTGGCTCCCGGCACAGCGAGCATAAGCGAAGGGAAAGCTAATGCTTTAGGTTGCACAATTTGCGGTGTGAATGTTCACCACTGGCCGCCGTGCCGAACGATGGACACGGTCATATACTTGTTGATCAATCTCCCGACGACCCCTCCAGAAACTCCGGACGTGGCTTGAATCGAACAGCAATATCAAATGACAAAGCCAATCGCGCACGCGATACTGCCGTTGCTCGATTTCATCAGGCCAAACCAATACTGGACTCGAATAGCCGCTGCTCACGATTGGTGCATGGCTCCGGCACACAAGCAATGAGCGCGAGTACTCCAGGTTCATTCTTGTTCCTCCCGCAGAATGGAACTCTTCACCCGCTCTTTACATAGGTCGTTGCGATAAGCCGTCAGGTGGCCAACCATTCTTGGACTTTCTTCCTGTAGCACCACAGAAATGCGCATGCGATACCTTGCTCTTCCACTATGAAGATCGTCGACCCCTCCCGCCCGGATGTCACTCGCCCCGTTAGCTTCGCGAAGGCGCATTTTCTTCTCAGCAACTCTCAGGCGGCCCGGATTCCCACGCTGCGCGTAGACGACGCCGATGAGACAGGTTTGGTCGACCGCCACAAAAGCATCACACTGACGACGTGCAGCGCTGGCAAGGCCTCCGCCATTGCCAGGTTCGTAGGAGGCCTCGCCGGCTGCTTTCTTCTTGTTGTGGAGCTCGTGGAAATGAAGGCGATTGGTGAAGATCGAAAGTACAAAAGTGTGACCTCGAAGACGTCCCGGCCGATGATTAAAACTACTGTGTTTGATTGCGGATGGCTAGAAGGGGCAACCGACTCACATTTCCACAGCGAAACAAGTAGGTGCATGTCTTCTTGTTTATTGCTCAGTCAGCATGGCCTAAGGAAATATTTCACGGCCACCGCTCTTGACCCCATCCGTCTGATGTCCTCACTTGGTACTGCAGCTGTTGCCTTGAAGTGGGTAGTCCGCAAGCAGCTTCGCATGCTACGGCAGGTATTTTGGGTCGGACGTGAGCTCGTCCTTCTGGAAGGCGTATGTCTCTTTGATCGAATGTGCGTGTGTGCTTCAGCGTACCAAAACCCAAACAGCTACTAGCAATACCACTGCTGCTCTAGCTTCAGCGAGTCAAGCACGAGCATGATTGAACACGTTTGAGAACAAGCACAGCAGTGATGCACAACTGGGTGATAAAAATCGGCCCTTGACACCCAATTCAACCAATCAATGATCAGGTGGGGCTCGGAGGAAGCTTTTCAAGCCGAGATGACCGCGAGGAAGGTCAAGGCGGAGGCCGCTCATCAAGCCCGCGTCGTGGCCTACGAAGTCGCTCAGCAGCAGAGCACGGCCAATAGTCCTTCCCTATCCCGTGAGGGGGGCGGGGAAGAAGACTCAACATCAACATCACCTTCCGCCGAGCAATCTCCGCTCGAGAAACCAAAACCCGTTCCTTCCACACCTCGAATTTGCCGCCTTAGTCGCGAAACGAACTTCGTCGCATCGAATCAGCAAGAGGGCCATGGCGTCCGAGGAGAGAAGTACGGGTTCTATCGGATGTCAACAATGCCTTCTTCGACGCTGGTCCGACGGTGCGTATGCCGAATTTCAGAGTCAGTTTATGAATTCGTTTAGTACTGCGTCACCACACAATCGATTTCAGAGCAACAGTACTCAGATTTGACAACCGGTATTAGTCACTGGATTGTTAAAAATGATTCGTGCGCTTGCCGGGCACGTGGCTTGGAACTGCAGTAGAATCGCAGGGAAAGAATGTCTCCCAGGAGAACATCGCGATCGCTGTTGGCCCATCCCTTCCCAGAGGACGGCACAACTCCTGTAAGTATGTGAGCGGTGGGTGTTTTGAAAATGACATCTGAATATCAATCTCGACATCTGAATATCAATCTCTCGTATCTGCACGGAGAGTGTTCGCGCGAGATGGGCTTAATCTTGCAAGGAGTAGGAATCCTCTGTTCGTGTGCACCAAATGGGAGCCTTCATGTCATCCCATGAGGAGATGACATGCCATCGTCGCTGCACCTTCACTATCGGCAGGGGCAGGACGTTTGTTCCATGCACAGTTCAGCAACCAGTGGAGGGCTCCTTTTATTACCCATTGGCTGTTCTAGAATATCCCAGACACATGGGTACATACATATTCGTTGCGAATAGTTCTGAAGCAACGACACCTGCAGTATTAGCTTTCGCGTTCAACATGGGGGCATGATCGGCCCGCAAGCACACTCAAGGCGGAAGCATATTTATCATTGATCTCCACAAATGGCGCCAGGTGTAGAGTAGGGCCGAGAAGTTGGTGTTCATGCGCCGAAGCCAGTGTGAGTTGAACCTTGGAAGGGTTTTTGGTAAACTCTTGATTGGCTGTATCGCCTATTATCGGATTTCCCGGGGTCATCGGGGGCCACACGGACTTTCTGTGACCAGAGACAATTAGCCCCTCGCGATACAACTCTTGGGTGCACATTGGCACATGTTTGTGCAAACCAGTGTAGGAAGCGAACCTTTGAGCTTTATCCTAATCTCCCCGGGTTAACGGAATTTGCTACTGTAGGATCAACTTTGCAAGGGACGGCAAGTCGCCGGCTGTTCGAAAGTAGCCCTGACCTTCTACACGTACGTCGATATTCTTGGGGCCGCTGATGTATCCATTTGTGCACCATTGTAAAAAGCTACTAGATGCTGAGGGTCAGACGTGATGAGGGCTTCATTCTGCGCCTTCGCCCCCACCTGGCGTCTACCGATGCTTTCGACTACATGCCGCTCGCATGATTTCGCGGAGACCGACGATACGTCTTCTTGCACCTGCACCAGATTGCCATTAGCTGCGCGATATCATCTCGAAACCCTCGGGGACCGGACGCAAGCAGCAACACGAGCAATAACGATGACCTCGACGAGGAAGTGTGTGGCGCGACATGCAATCGGTGTTCCTCCAACTCGTACGCCCGCTTCCACGCCATGACTGAATCCGAGTCGTACTGCCCATGGGACGTTCAAGGGTACGACAGGGAGAGTAGGGGCCGGGCGTTCGTCGAGGCGTTGAAGACAGCCTAGGATGGCACGACCATCAGTATCTCTACACGAATCACGGTGGCCAACAGCATTTACATCTCTGGAGCCGTCAGGATCGTTGGCACCTCTCGCGGCCGACTCGAGCTGAAGGATGGCGCTCTTTGTAAGGAACGCGTCCAGTTTCTTTAGCTAGCCAAAGCATTGTTCGGCACTGAAACGTACCTGATGCGAGCGTGAGAGCGATGATAGATCCATCCGGGTGCTGTCGTATCGAAGGCCCCCGCTTTGTGTCCTAAACGTCATGCAACGAACATCATTTTACCCCCCGCAATCTGCGATCTCGACCATGAAATTGGATAGGAGACAAAGACATGCAACGCACCAAATTGCGCTCGCTGGTCGCAACACTGTAAAGTTGTACGGTGGAGGCCGAACGCGACAATACCAATAGCTCTCAGTGTTGCTGTACTACAGCATCCAGCACGACGGCGTGAACCGTATTGCTGATCGCTTGAAGAACGTCGCCCCGGTGATTTCGAGACATGACCCCACTGTAGGAAGTACCACCGGTACCGGGTGGACACGAAGAGATTGTCGCCGGGGTCTGTTTCGTTCGAATGTGTTCACGTTGCCTCCACAGTAAATGATTTTCAAGGCTTCGAACCATCCACAGTCTCAGCTCACGTCCCACCTTGTATGCGAAAGGGAATAGTGCTACAGTGCGGGCCCGCAGATAAGAAACGTCAGAACCGGGTCCAGCCTCAATCCCGTGTTTTGGGTCCAAGGACCAGGCGAAGTCGTCCATACTTTAAAGGCATTTCGTTTTCCCCTGGACTGTCGCATTCTCCTGATTCTCTTGTTTCTTCGTACAACAACACACCACATGGTCATGCCGCATTAACCAGAAAGAAAGCTCGGTGTGTCGAAAATATCCACACACTGTTTTTTAAGCGAGCAGCAAGTTGCCTGTCGCTGTTCAATGTGGTGACTGGGCAAAGCTTCTCGAGAAACCGTGGTGTACGTAGTGGAGTGGAATGTGGTGACTGGCCAATGAAGAGTCACCGAATACGGTGTTACAAGCGCACGGGCGGCGTGGCGCTCGCCAAATTTGGACCAAGAGTGGAATGGCGGATGGGAGGCGCCTGCGAGACGGCTCTGCTTCCAATGCACTCAAAGGCGGTGGTTAGTGCAACGCGACATAGTTGTGACGAATACATGCCAACGGTGACCAGTTTGGGTAGCCCACACGGGCTGAATAGAAACCAGATTCGATCCATGCGAAGTATGCAGCAGGTTGAGGACCGGCCCAGATACCGGTCGTGCGGGAGGATATTTGATATGAAACAGTGGTCGGGTCGTCATCGCAACGGTTTGTGATGTGTTGCGTATGCCGCATGACCTCGCCGTAAAATTTGAACTCCTGTAAAGGAATTCATGAGTATCACTCGCCACCGCCGCCTACCATGGTGATTCAGCTTGAAATCATGACGACTCACTTCCCGCCGGGAATGAATATCTTGTTCTCTCTTTTCTCACTTTTTTTTGACCCGATGAACAGGGGCATTGGGAAAGGGCCGGCCCGTTACCACCTACAGGACAACGACGCCGTTTTGAGAACCAACACTTTCTCGGCCAACGGTGACGGTACAATCCGTGACTACTACGGGGATTGACCGCCAGGGACTTGAGACCGTAGCGGGCAGCAGTAGAGATGGAGTCATATATATCTGCACGAGAGGACTCCGGATTTCATTTGTCACGGAACTCGCTCCTCCAAACCTGTCCTGACCACCCCGTGTTGCCTACGACACAACCGCGCAGGGTGTGTGTGTGATTACTTTATTTTCTTTGTTCAACATTGGGGCCGAAGATCATGGCATCCACTCTCCAGCAATCGTCCTCTTCCTTGGTGAGCTGCACCTCGACTATTCTCCTGACGACGTCGGGGTACCTCCCGACCACCTCCACCTTCTGAAGGACCTGTTTCCCGTCGGCGGACACCTGTGGCATCCGTTTGGTTCGTGTTGGTACGTCAAGGCAAGGATGAAACACGTCCGAGTACATCTAGGATTGACATTACTACGTCGGAAACGAGTGACCACACAACATCGAAAACGACAATATACCCTGTTGGCGGTATGGACCTTTTGAGAACGATGTGTACAATGATGCTCGCAATACCGGTTGCCAATAGGCCCAGGGAGAGCCACACATGTTTCGCAATCATCCGCCGTGGATCCATCGACATGTTCAGGCTGACCAACAGAATCAAACCCTTCAAGGTACGGGATTCATCATCGTTCCTTAAGGTAGCTGTCACTCAAGTGCGCGTTCTTCAAAAAGGAACGCAAACATTAAACCGCAGCGAAGGGCGAGAACGACAGCAAGTTGTGTGAAGTTCAACCACGTTTCGAGAGCAGCAGTGGTGCCACATCGTGTGTGGACAGGTTCATGGATCAGGAGACTCCACCGACACACCTTGTACTTTGGCCTACTCGGCGACAGGACAGAAGGAGTGTACGGGGAAAACCCCCAACAAGCCAAGCGTGCAGGCGCGCTCAGCAGGTATCGACAATAGCCCGCCCGAAAAGAATGGCTTATATTCCAATACAACCATACAAAAAACGGACACGTGCTCAACACTCTACAGAAACAACTTCCATGTAAAAATAACGAAAACAATTTCACGAACGAAGAGACCACAGGTTTCCGCTCCGTACCTTGGCTCGCTCGGCCGGCGCACACGAAGCGTTGTCGACGAGCAAGACCTGGTCCGGATCGTTCCGCAGAAAGGCCCCATACTCGGCGGGGGTCATGTTCCTCACGGCACTCTTGGACGACGCGAACTTCACCGCCACGGCCGCGCCGTAGTCTAACATCGGGTCATCGTTGTTCTGACACGCAATTGTGAGAGCGTGAAAAACACAATGGCGTTGATGAGAGCACGAAACAAAGGAGCATAGAGCAACAAAACACGACCAAAAGAGGGCGGACGACATGCCAGACAATGTCCCTGTACACACAAGTAGGGAAACATCACCAAAAAAAGCCGATGAGTCCTGAACCCGTTGGGTAAGGTGGCGCACCTGCAGGGACTCGAAGACCAGCTGGCATACGGAGGCTGGGTCCATCGCAGGCGAAGGGATTTCTTCTGCAAGGACACGGAGCGTAGGGGGCGGGAGTCGAGGCATCAGGACGAAACGAGCAAATTTCCGCAGATCGTCCGTCATGAGCAAAGGCGCAAGCCGCCTGCTCCTCTACGCACGGAGAAGTGATACGAGATAGGGGTGCATACGCCATGCTCTTGGTCTTGCCAGCGCGCTTCTCCAGGGATATCAATAGGCGCTGGGCTGTGCCAGGGTACGAAAAAAAGGGCACTACGGTAAAGGATAACGACCGCACCCTTCGACAATACACGAGAGAGGAGAACACCCCACGCTCTCCTCTACCAACATATCCGCTCCACGGACAAAACACAACATAGAACACGTTGGTGAACAGCCTCTGTTGTGCGTACCGTGCTGTCGTCACTAGAAAATACATTCAAAACTTGCTTTGGTGTTGGCGGCACCATGCCGCGCACGAGCACTCGCGAATGACTCACTTCGCCTAACCAGCACCCTCCCTTTCCTGCCGTCGTCCTGCCACTCGCGGACGGCCCTTTGCTCCTCCTCTTCTTCGGTCTCTACTATCGTCTGGGATATATTGCAAGCATGCGGTGTACACAAGCAGGTGGACAGGGAATCGGTAAGAGACACAACCATCATGCTCGCATTTCGAAAAGCCCAGAGAAAAATCGAAAGTTTGACTGGTTCGTGATACATGTGTACAGGGGTTGGAAATGAAGGCAGATTTGTGGAGGGGGCGCCTCATTGGAGAAAATTTCAACGGCGGCTGAAGATTGGGTAGGGGGACCGCCCACAAAATCTGGGGACGGTATCTAGGCTCGATATTCTAAAATCCTATGAATGTCCATAATGAAACGGGATGATAAGCGTCTAGGGACTGCGGCAATTCCAAGCCTCGCGCATATGGCCTCCATCACGGCCGAAGTGTACTCTCCTGCACTTTTTCTTCGCATACTGTAGGTCGTGGCTTCATTTGAAAAAACACATGATGGCAAAGCAAGACGAAGCGGTGGGGAGATGGCACGACCGAGAGAGAGACAGACAGACAGAGACAAGAGAGCAAGGGAGGGAAGGAGGAATGCCGGTTTGATCATGCTGATGCAAGGCAGCCGTCAAGATACATAGCTGCTCCACCTTTATTCCTGGCAGGATGGGCACGCCGTCGGGATACATTCCATTCGTGTCAGCTGAGAGCCGGCTGCTGCGTCTGAGAGGACAGGAGAAAGACGGGAAAGGCAAGCAAAATCAGCCCGACTTGAAGTACAGCACCAGGATGGTGCAGAAAAAACAAGCTCTAGCTGCGCCGGAAGCATGTGACTGAAACTGCTGTGGATGCCCGCTGGGGTGAGCGCAGCGTCCCTGTTGGCGCTGATGCAACAGCAGACCCATGTGCAGGTGTCGGGCAACACCACGAGCAGCAGCAGCACCGGATCGCCGCTGCTGCGTGCGATGCAACAACGCAGCTGCCAGCGTACACGCATTAATTGCACACAAAAGCAACCCGACGTTTCGATACCATAACTTCATGTACGATATCGTTCACTGCCATGCATTTCTCCCGTTGGTGGCTCCAACTCAGGCGTGCGTCTTTCCAGCACCATTCGACTCTCCCACGTCCCGCGCCCCTCGCTCTCCAAGCACACAGCAGTTGCCTCTCGACATATGATAGACCAACATGGTCGCTCTCTCTAACGATCTGTCTCAGAACGGCGTCACGGCACACACACCAACTGCTTCACTCACCGAGAGTATCGGTCCCATCGTGAGCTCCCCGCTGGACTCCCTTGGTCGTCGCTAACGCGTCTCCCTAGGGCAGGCGGGAGCCCGCTCACGGAGGAGCCAGCAAGCAGGGTCGAGCTTGGCGAAAACCATGCTGGTGCGACATGCACGAAGGCTGCTGATCGAAAAACGAAGGCGGCAGCCAGAACAGGGGCCAGCGCGATGCCCACAGAGGCTGTAGACATAGGTAACGCACAGCGGGAAAAGCCAGGTAAGAAGGTGGTACTGCTATACGTTGTAGGCGAACAACCAAACCAAATTGCGCACAGCATGCAGTTGACGCAAACGCGGCGCAACCTCAAACACATATATTCCGCGGTGCCCCCGCTCGAGCCCTTGCGTGCTGCGTGCTTGAGTAATCTCCGCGCAGGCCACGTTTCCATGCAGCAACGATCTGGACGTGCCTACCTGCCGCTTTGATTCTACTGAATTGGACGCGTCCTTGGACTGAACGCCGGCACCGTCTCTACCGCATGCAGCGGGAAGACGTAGCAGTGGTAGAAGGAAGCAGCAGCAGCAGCAGCAGCAGCAGCAGCAGCAGCAGCAACTCACGAGTCATACACAAAGACGACGACGGCGACATGGTGCTGCCAAAAGGCCGTCGTCCATGCCGCGGAGGACCCAGGCGCTGGACACTGCTGACTCCCACGGTGCTGTGGTCGGTGGTCATCCTCGCCATGATGCCAAGCTTCTACGGCTTCGTCGGTGGTCTCGGCGGCCTGCCCACGGGGAGGTCTACCGCCGGCACGCGCGGAGTTGCTGCCGCTGACTTGGCATCAGCAGGGTCGAGCGGGGCAAAGGGGCGGCAGGGCGGGGGCGGGAGCGGGGCAACCGGAAGCGTGAAGGGCTCGCCGTTTGCGGCGGCGTCTTGGCTGAAAGAACGCGTGCGCGATGGGAAACGAAGGGTGCAGATGCAGGTAGGTGTGTGTGTCAAGTGTCTGCGAAAAAAGAACGTGCACCTCTCGCTGGCTGCTTTCTTTTTTGAAGACGGCGAGTCGGCGAGGTGCAAAAAATTACCTCTGCTGCTGTGTTGTGAGCGCCCACAAGTGGATTGAGTGGCACGCGGCTATGAGGTCTCCGGTGCCTCATGCCTCTCGCTGTCTGTACCCACAAGAGCAAGGGCATGCACACCCTGCCGGTTGCGTTCGGCGCGGTAGAACTTCGACCTTGCTGAAGCATATTCGTAAGAAAACCACTTTCTGTGCGCATGATTGTAACGTTGTGCCGATGCAGGAGTGCAGATTTTGGCCGAAACATGCGTGCACGGTAGTAATTGGACCGTGCATTTGCTACCCTGCCGCGTCGTTCTAAAAACGCAACGCTCGTGTCCTGCTTCAGCAGCTCCAAGAAGAACAGTGTCGGATACTGTTGATTTGTCTCGATACTTGAAATGTCGTGTTCGGTTAGTCGTTTTTGCGGGAGCGGAGAGCATCGCAACATGTTTAGTCGTTTCACAGGAAGAAACAGCCACGGGCGTACGCGTAACAGTATGCTCATCATTCCACATTTAGGAGTCAAAGACACAATATAGCGCGAGTCATCAGCATATCACGGAAACAAGACAACACGGGTCAAGGATGATTCAGCCCTCCTCATGCGCAGTCCCTACATAAAAGAAAGTGTATTACAAAAGCGTTTGTCATCATTGGCCGAAGGGGCCACAATCCCTGAAGTCTTCTGAGCTCGTTTCCGGACAAGGGTGACTTGGCATCAGTATGAAAAGTGTCCCTACAACAGGTGATGACACTTTTCATACTGAAAAAAATTCAACAATTTTTTCCAGTACCAGGCTGTGAGTACCAGGCTGTGTACAGTGTTACCACCTGTGGGACACGCGGCTTGGTGGATTGTGTACAATACAGCAAGTCAGAGGCCGAGGAGAGGCATCACACAGCATTCGCACAGCGTACCACCTCACCCAAGCATGACTGACCAAGGGTTCTCACGTGCGTTTCACATTGCGGAGCAGTGAGCGACTACGGTGCGGTAAATAGGCAATTCAGTGCTGTGTTCCCAAAGTGTCCCCCTTTTGGCGTCCAGTACTTGTTGCGACCAATCTGTCCACTTGCTCATTCTTGTTGTCGTGCCTCGTTCGTGGTTATCCTGGCGAAGCGCTGGTCCACACGGTACACGTGCGCAGGGTGTCGATCGTTTTGTCGAACGGGAGAAATTCGCCAGCTCGCTACATCTGTAGCGGGCGCCAGCGAACGTGGTTTTCACTTGACTGCCGGTCGGCACGTGCCTCAAACAAGTGTGATAGCGTTGCGGCTCAATCCACGCGTTCTGTTAGACATCGAAACGCTCTCGCTTGTTCAAGGACTCGACTGAAACCCGCGGTGGTGCCACCACCGCTTGAGTACTATCCGCAATACCAAGGCATAATTCGGCTGTGTGTCTATGCGACGTTGCCTCGTTCTTGGCTCCCTTTCCACTTTTGTTCGTGCTCCAGGTAATGTCAATGGTGCCGGACACAAGCATGGACGCGAAATGCTTCGACGACGCTCCCGTGCCGTTAGACGAGAGAGGTTTTCACGTCAATGGGTGAGAGGGCAGAAAACGGGGGGAGGAATGTCTGTCCATCTTCTTCCGAATTTTTTTTTTGTGTTGCGGTGCTTGGTCTCGAAAATTCAACAGGTGCTTGGGTATTGTGTTCTGCTTGCAGGTGAAAGAGTCTTTCTCTCGAGGTTTTTTTTTTTTTCTTGTTTCGATTTCCTCCGTTGCCGCTCGTGTCCTTCGATGGCAAGATGGCGCGCACCAATAGCTTGGCGGTCTAGGCCAGCCACGCCGCGGCGGCGCAGGTGCTGTTTTCGGCTTCCTCGCTCGCTCGCTCGCTCTCGCCGGACGACCTCGCGTGGTGCGTTATTCTCGCACAACGCCCCCCCCC